CTTCCATTTTTTATTCCTTTTTTTTTTTTTCCAAAAAGGAAAACGGCGTATGATGACCGCGTATATACGTATATACGGCTCATGTGTGGCCGTGGTTCGGGGTCGAGTTTTGGCTTAAAAGGGTAATCTGAGCAAGTGACGCGTCGAAGTGCTTGTGCAGCGTCCGCCATTGACGCGTGCGCGCGGTCACGGATCGCGCTCGGCTGAGAGAGTCGGTGGTCTCGTTCGAGACCCTCTGGAGGCGGTAGAAAGCGCGGGCCTCGTGCGTTTCGTGCGCCGAGAGCGCCCGCGGCATTGTTGGGAGCCGCCCGGCTCGCTTCGTGCGCGTTTAAAATGGAGCGCGGCTCGCGCTGCTTTTCACGCCGACTCTCAGCGCGGTCGTGAGCCACGAATTTAATGACCGTAGTAAAAAAAGATATTGCTTTTTTTCTTCCTTCGTTTTATTCAAATGAGGCTTCAGACTCGGGAGCCACTTTCTCCTAAGGGGTAATAAACGCGTAAACGACTTGGCTCCGAATAAGCGGGAGAGATAAGATAACGCGTCGTTTAAATATACAAATTGAAACTACCGATCTGCCAATATTTCGCACTTGTTTCAGAGTAACTTGCCAAGTAGGTGCCACAGAAACGTAGAAGATGTGGCAAGCAGGCTCCGAGACGTCGCCGAATACTCGCTGCTAGAGCTGGAAATTAAGGTACGTTTATACTTCGACGTAACGTCGACGGGCGCGGCGAAGCGCAGCGTACACTTATACTGATTGGTCGCAGATATCGAGTTCCTGGTCGCCGGCCAATGAAAGGCGCGCGTGCTGTGCTACGCTGCGTTCACTGCTCTCAACGTCGGAGTATAAACAGCCCTTTAGCCTAGCTTAAAGGCCGACGAGCAGCTAGACAGGAGAAAACTCTCCCCGACGTCCTTCTTTCCATTCGAGAAAGAGACCCTCTTTTTTTTTCTGCGGGTAAACCTGCTCCTGTGAGGAGAGGAGGGGAGAAGACTGCGAGAGGGAATGGAGAGAAGGAAACTGGAAACCGGTTTTCTGCCCGGCAGAAGGCGACTTTGTATGCCGGCACTTAAAGTCAAACAAGCTTCTGAAAAACGATTCAAGCTAACAACGTTGCTAGAGCGCGTGCGTGCGTGCGTGGACCCATTTTCTCGTTTGTGTAATTGAATCAAGTAGTTATCTTTCGCCTGCGTGTTAGAAGCAAAAGGTGAAAGAAATCTAGAAAACTACATGTTTACTTTATTGCAGTTTGAGGTGTTAACCTAATTTGATTTGTCATGCGACATGCCCCGGTAGCCGAGCGCAGGTAGCTTTTTAAGTCTTTATACTATGGGCATTGACTCTTATATCATAGAACCTGACACATTAGAAAAATAACGTAGGCAAAGAAGGTGTAACAATATAAGAAAAATAAACCGTTCTGTGTGATTTTTACCACTGAAGAAAGCCCAAAACCGGGAGAGAACAAAAAATGCAGAAACACTTTGCTATCTTGAACACGCAAGAAGAATACATTAAGTCCTCAACCAAGTGATCACCTATCAGCAAATTTTAAAAGCTGACGTTTTTCAGTTCTTAGAGGACGTCGGGTGTAAGTTCGAAAGGTTTTGTTTCAAGTTCTTTTTACTGCCCCGTCTGCTACTATACATTCCTCGTACAGAATAAATCAGAATACATAGTCCTCAACATTTAAACTACATCTCAACTGTTTCTTTGTTGTTGTTGTTTTTTGTTTTTTTGTCGTTCGTTCGTAGATTATTTTTTTGCCCACGCCTGAATAATATAGATACACCGTGAACAATGAAGATACGCTTAGAATGGTTTAACACCGCAGACCACATCTCACAATCTATGTAGCTATAACAAAACGAATCAAAGTTGTACCATCCAAGGGATACCATTATACGTAGCCATTAATCTCACTTGATGCATGCTCAAAACCAGATTTGTAGACTTTACATCGCCATTAGAATAAACAAAGTACCCGAATTAACGTTCCTTCGAGGGTTTATATTTCATACCTGCTTTCGCACTAAGCAAACAACTTTTTCAACGCAGTGCTAAGCACACCGGGAACGCCTTTGGAATCGCAAAGTGAAGCGACATGTATAATGAAGCAACAATAGGAAGAAAAAGAAAGGAAGATAGGCATAATAATTATAATACAAACACGAAAAGAAAGAAAACAGAAGCGAAGCTAAAGTCCACGCCGGAACTAGGGGATTACAAATTGACAGCGTGATCCGCAAGTAGGGTAATAGCGTTCGTGCGGAAACTATCCGTGCTTCGAATACCGCTGATCCCATGCATACGTAATAAGAGGGCCTTAATGACAAACGTGCGATTGCCGCCGCCAAGCGCATATTTGCTCTCACTCATGAGCGCCGATCTTCGGCGCGCTCGTGAAACTTTAGACTCGGGGCATGCTCGTCGCAGCGAGGATGAGTCTGAACAATGAGCGAGCTCGTTCGTCTTGGTCGCCCACGATGCAAAAAATGCAGATCTGCCGTGGCTGGGATAATTGAGCACCCGCAGACCGGGTCGGCAACGGAAGCCTCCGCTCATTTCAATTACTGCCAACTTTCGTTACGGGAAAACATTTACTCTGGGGCGACTTGCTCCTCTTGACGCGGCATTCTGTTTTTAGTTTTTGTTTTCGCTCGTCTGATACCCTATACCGTGTCGGCTAGAAATGTGTAGAGAGCGCTCCGTGAATTAGATTTTTTGTACAGTTGAAATAATAAATCTCGATGCCAAATTAATGTGTTTTTTTCTTGTGCTGACAAGATGAAACGCTGGGCTTTAAATCAGTTATGTAGCTAATTAACCTAAAGCTTTACTTGTGCTATCTACTTCACATCGGGAGTTTTATGGGATGATGTGGCAGGCACGGGCGCTATGAGTGCGGCATTTGAAAGCATCTCATCTCGTGCTCACGTACATCGTGTCTTTGCATTTGAAACAAGGACGTTTAAATACACCAGGACCCGGCACGGCGTCATGCTCAGCGACGCCGGAAAAGAAACTCAATCAACTCAATCCCAGACTGCCTTGAGCACCGACGTTGCTCTCATCGTGTGCTCGCCGCTTGGGCGGCTTAGGCTACGTCAGCTCCGTGCCTGTGGTCTGCTTCGTCTGCCCTAGAATCGCTGAATGTTCCTAGAATACCGAATATACCGATCTCACCAAGCGTTCGGCGTATGCGTGAAGCCGCCGTAACTTTAGTTCACAGGAGGCAATCGAGAGAGCACGAGAGTGTTCGTGCTCTGCACACGCAAAGCTCTAACGAGGTTGTGACACGTGCAGAAAGACTATAGTTCTTTAGATGCATTGCGACAGCGGTGGCGTACCCAAACTGGTGGGTGAAATCGGTCTATTGCAGAGCCGTGTATGGAGAGAGTTTGGTCGATGGGAGGCGCGGGCAGAGCCACGCCGTGCACCAAACGCAAAAAGGGTGCTTGACATGCTCTCTTGGCCAACCAGAAGCCTAAAAATCCCCTAGCGGTGGTAGCGGGAAACTGTTTTAATCAAAGGTATATGTTGATATATGGTTTTAATCAGCACGTAACAACGAAGTGTAGTAACCCTTCATGGTTGAAAATAGGGTGCCCGTGATGTTTCGATCATGATCATGCAGAAAGATGTCAGAAACGAATGCGCCTCTCAACTTTGTTTTGTTCGGAGAGAGTGTGACCGCTCGGACGGCAGATTTCCGGCCCTCTGTGCTCGGCGTACGGATTATGTCGATCGTTCCGCAAGTCGCACTCTTCCACCATGATTTTGGATGACCGTGACTGGAATATCACGTGCACCATATTTTCAGTCACCGAGAATTACTGCGATGCACCTACTAAGTTTGTTTCTCGCGACCGCTACCAGGGTATTATTTCCGGCTTCTGGTTGAGCACATTCGAATTTGTGAAGACACCCTGGAACACGCCCAGCCGGCTTTCGGCCGTTAGCGGCTCCTCATTTGTCTCCTATACTTCCCAACGAATGGCCAAACTCTCTACATATACGGCTCTGGTCTATTACACTGATATCTATGACAATTGCTGGATCGCGCTTACCTCTTCCGCGAGTGAAGCCACCGGACAGCCATCTTGCTCGTAGACAAATTGCGGTTTTGCTAGCGTTACAGAGGCTGACGGCAGGGTGCTGAAGACACGTTTTCTGCTCGTTCGTCGTCATCCGCCGAAGAAGTTTTCGAAGACCCTGTGTAAGCCTTAAACTTGCCGTTTAGAACAGGTGGAAATTTTTAAGAAAGCGCGGTTTTGCAGGAAAAAGGCACAACTTATTGAAAGCAAGTTTCGCTGGTCTCGCGGTGTGATCAAAGCTTCCTTGTCACGCCGAAGTGCTGCGTCTCTGTGCCTTCGCATGCTTAGATGTCGATAAAGAATCGACTCTGTGGCAAAGTTTTGAAGGGGTGTCGCGCGTAGATATCTTTGCGTCATATATTGATCACGTAGTTCTAGACCGTCCAGCTGTTCCGGCGTGTGCATCTGGTGACCAATCACAACTAGGCGAGCCGGGCTCCAACTTGATGTCGCGTGCAATTGTTGATAATGAGCCAGACCACTGATCAGTGATAAATAGCTGTTGTAGGGTGTTCTGTAAACCGTCTAGCGTTGAAAAAAGACGTACCATCGGTATCACATATTTCTCTGGAAAAGAAAGTCTCACCGGCGTGCGACTTGTAACAATACTTGTTTCGGTTCAAGGTTTCCACAAAGTCGGTCAGAAATTTTTAAATAATGGGTGCACAACAACCGAAGGCAAAACTGGCATCCGTCCAAAAAAAGTCTTGTTTGTTTTTGGCCACTTTGGAGAGGCGTGCTTTAACAAGGTGGAAGGTTGGGCGAGTTGGTTGATGGTCATATTGAATGGGTTAAAACAGCGCAAAAAAGACGAAGGACCAGTAAAATAAACACACAGACACGGCAATAACTTACAACTGAAATATTTACTGCTGCGCCATTCAGCAAGTAAACTCAAAAGGAGACAAGGAGACAAAGGAATTTTTATGGTAGCGCCTGCGTGCTTCGCTGCCAAGGAAATCCAGGCATCATCAGGAGGGGAGTGGGGGAGGCAGCATTGTGTTCCTGGGTGGTGCCTCTACTCCTGATAAGATCGTGAACATTTTGAAGAAGGTTCCCAGGTTTGCTACCGAGCCGTTGGTCCGGCCTCCGGAGATCCTGGGCCTGGTGCGACAAGTGTCTCAAAAAACGAACCAGGAAAGCAGGGAGTGTTGCATATTGGAGTGTGCGGAAGGGCTTTTAAAAGGGGTTGGGAGAAAGGTGAGAAGGATGAATCTTGGGGCTGTTTTATCGTTTTTCAATGACTCGCGGTTAAAGTTGCTGGTATCTGATAAAGAAGGGGGCTTTGACGTGGCGCCTCAGGGTTTGTTCTTGGAGAAGGCCGGGGAGGCGATGTTGAAGAATTTTAGGCCAGTGTTGGGGGTTGATTTGAAAAAGGTTAAGGCGCGTGCTGCGCAGTTATGCAGTAACATGGGGCTGGATTCGCTGAGAAAGTCTGCGTCGGCAGCTAAAGGTCTTAGTCTGGAGGCGTTCTTCACGGTTAAGACCCACAAAGAGTTGATGCCTTTAAGAGCCACTGTCACTCAGAAAGGTTCTTGGCAGGTGCATGTGTCAAGCTTTCTGCAGCGCCACTTGTCGTCACTTATGCTGGATGACCCTTTTGTTGTTCGCAATTCGGAGGCCTTGGTTAATTATCTACGGGAAGATAATCCTGGCTCGTGTCAGCTGGTTTTGTTTGATGTGGAAGATTTGTTTTATGCAATTCCCCATTGTGAGCTCATGCAGGCCGTGGAGGAGTGCATTGATACGTTTGGGGCTGTGGCCTTCTCGAGTTCCTGTGGGATTGCGAGTGACTCTTTCCTTGAACTACTGAATTTTTACCTCGCGTCCACCTTTGTTACATTTGAAGGCAACACGTTTTCGCTGAAGAGCGGCATATGCATTGGGTCGAATGTTGCGCCCGTTCTCAGTGACATTTATTTGGCTAAGTGTGATAGGGCAATTGCTGAGCGGCTGGACGATAGGGTGGTCAAAGTATTGAGGTATGTTGATGACTACCTGATTGTGCTGAAAAGCAACGATAACACAGACATTGAAAGTGTGATTGCCTCGATATTACATGTGTTTACGGATTGTTCTCCGGGACTAAAGTTTAAGGCTGAGACCACTTCTGAGGGTGCCCTACAATTTTTAGATCTCAATCTTCGATGTGAGCCCTCGCATTTGTGTTGGGCCCATGAGCCTAGGCCTAAGAAGGGGCTCTTAGTATATGAATCCGCACACTCTAAGACAATAAAAAGAGCCATTGCACTGTCCAGTCTCCGCACCGCCTTGTTTAAGTCATGCCACCATAGGTGTGGTGACAGTTTTTTGTTGCAAGTCACGAGGTTGTCAAATGCTGGTTTCCCTTTGGGAGTTGTCATGGGCGTCGTGGAATCCTTGGTTAAGGTGTTTAGAGGCCCTGCTAGTACTGAGGCAAGACAAAAACCAACGGTAAGACCTGTGGTCTTGCCGTATATGCACAAGGTGTCCCATGGTGTCAAGAAGGTTGCCAGTAGGTGCAACGTGCCAGTTGTGTTTTTGGCTCCAGCTAAGTTGGGGCGGCTGTGGGCAGCTGTGAATCGAGGTGGCCGCGTGGGTACACAATGTCAAGTTAAGCACCACAACCCGTTTGTCGCCTGCGCGTGTGGGGTGGTGCTCCTTATTTCGTTGTCCTGTGGAAAAGTACATTGGGCCGACGGGGAGATGTGTTAACGACCGGGCGAGAGAACATTCTCTGCCTTACGGTCCTCCCCGTCTGGCAACCTAGCGGTCCACTGTGACATATGTGCGTGCTCTCCAATGTTTAATGAAATTAAGATTTTAGCCTGACATAAAACTAAGTATGCTCGGGAGATTGACGAAGCTTTTTTTATTGCCAACCATGACGCAGGCATGTGCATTAGTGTTCCATCACTTGCCCTGGTTAGTGATGAAATGAATTTTATCAGAAAGGCGGGGAAATACGTGTAGCCACGTGTCGGCTTGAGTGGAGGATGACGTGTTATCGGGCCGATTGCTTTTATGTTTGTCTCCTTTCAAGTTTACTTGCTGAATGGCGCAGCAGTAAATATTTCAGTTGTAAGTCAGCGCTGTGTCTGTGTGTTCCTTTTGCTGGTCCTTCGTCTTTTTTGCGCTGTTTTAACCCATTCAATAGGCGTGCTTTAACAGAATTGGGCAAAGCGTACGCTTAAGAGAAGATGCCATCCCAACTCTCTTCAAGTTACCTGAACACCTTGTCAAGGTAAATAGGCTGGTCTTTACTTTTTTCAAGCGCAATCTATACATTCTACTTTTTTTCGGTCTATTTCATACATTTACCAAGCATGCACAATGCTGGAGCTGTTTTTGTTTCGTTTCTGCACGTTCTAAGTAAAATATTTGGTATTAAATACTTGATAATAGACAACCTAGTTTTTGGCAGCTATTTGGCACTATTCAATTCGAGCTGAAATTTTATATTTTACACACCCTTATTTAGTAATCAGATATTGTTATGTCTTTCTGAAACCTGGTTACATTACGCAACCAGCTTGAAGCTGGTTGGGTAATGACAGAATTATGAACCCAGAAATGTGTTATTTTTGGCATTGTTCCCATCTCACTGCTAACAAATATATGTTTCCTTAAACTGCATGATTCACAATGCACATGTTCAAAGCATCTTGAGCTCTCAATAAGGCTTGATTGGTTGTGAGACATGAAAGATTTGCCCACCATACGCTATCCAAATTGAAGGCAAAATTCTAAAAACCGATAGGCAGACAGACACAGTATGTTTTTGTAGATGTTACGTTGCTGTCCTCAACCTGTAACTTAGCCAGAAATAGTCAAAAACTTGGAATCTGTTTCCTCCTCAGGGTAGAGACATGTGTGTGTCATTCTAAATATGTTTATTTTTTACATTCTCTCAACAGCCAGACAAGAAGGCCTCCAAGAGACTGCGGCAACAGCGCTGGCACTACTAATACTACTAGTGACACCCTTCATGCACGACCGTCGACGTTAGCAACACAGGACCACATATGCACAGTACAAAGCCCTCGGACCCAGAAACGTAAGGTGAACAATGTGGTGGGCCACGTAGAAACAGTAAGAAAAAAGTTAAAATACGCAAGGTAGGCAAAAAAGCGGCTAAAAGGAGAGGTTAATATCATGGAAGATATCCTCAAGGACCTCAAGCAACAGCAACTTATTGGCAGTGACGCCGCCTCTGTTCTTAGTAAGTCACTTTCTGGCACGCCGCTGGAAGTCTGTCTTCGAGCACTGATTAACACGAAAGGAAACGTAGCAAAAAAGCAATACCCACCAGAGTTAAGGGCTTTTTCTCTTACACTTCTGTTCTACTCGACTAAAGCTTATGAATACGTAAGGAGCGCATTCAACCTAGCACATCCCTTGTGTCGTCACTTTGGGCACGGTACCGCTCGATTGACGGCGAACCTGGGTTCACCTCTGAAGCGTTTCACTCCCTGCGACTTACTGTTGAAGAAAATGAAAAGCAGAGGAAAAAAGGCCTCTGTGCCTTGCTCATGAACGAGATGAGCATTCGAAAGCACGACGAGTGGGATGGAAAGAAGTTCAGAGGACTTATCGATCTTGGAACTGCAGTGGACGATGACAGTCAGCCGCTTGCCACCGAAGCCCTAGTCTTTATGGTCGTAGCTCTCAACGACCACTGGAAGAAGAGAAAGCCAACTTCGTGAACACGTGTCTAATGAAGGTACTTGATGTTGGTGTTATTGTCGGCTCCGTAGCATGCGACGGACTCCAATCGAACTGGACCATGATTTAAGCACTTGGGATTGACCTCACAGCCCCCCCCCCCCCCCCCCCCCCCCCCCAAGGACTGAAGCTCTGGTTTCCACACCCTGCCAACTCTAACCAGAGAGTTTTCATTCTATTTGACATTTGTCACATGCTCAAGTTACTGCGCAATGCTCTCTCGTCTCTGCAGGTGATCAAGGATTCCGACAGACGTTCCGTCAGGTGAATCTACATTCAGGAGCTAAACAAGATTCAAGAAAAAGCAACTCTCAGGGCAGGCAACGAGCAGCGACCGGCACATGTGGATTGGAGGCGTCGAAAGATGAAGGTGAACCTAGCAGCTCAAGCAATCAACTCAAGCGTCGCCGATGCTTTGGAATTTTGCGACATTGACCTCAAGAACGGAACCTTTACCGACAGCGAGGCCACAGTGAAGCTCATCTGGATCTTCGACAAGCTATTCGACATGATGAACTCAAAAAACCCTGTAGTCAAGAGCTTCAAAGCACCCTTGAGAATGAGCACACATCACCTATGTAAGCCCTTCTTCGAAGAAACAGCAAGCCACATTCTCGGCTTGAAGGACGTCACTGGCCTGCCACTCTACCTAACCAAAAGGAAGATTGCTTTTCTTCGATTTCTTATGAACATAAAGAGCTTATAGGGCCTCTGCGAAGACCTGTTGGGTAATCAAGAGCCTCTTATGAGGTATCTGCTCGCCTATAAGTGCAGACAGCTTCACATTGAGCTTTTATTTGGCGCCATCAGAAGCAGGGGCGGTTGGAATAAGAATCCGGCGGCTCTGCCGTTTATGGCTACTTACAAAAGGCTCCTTGTGTGTCACGAGGTGCAAAAGGTCAGAAGGAACTGTTCGATGCAAGATCAGACCAGCATTCTGCACGTGACCAGGAGAACCGTCCATCATTAAGATAAGGACCAAGATGCTCCATTGGATGACCATGCAGCAGCCCGCGGCTTTGGCATGCTCGTCTCCCCCAGAGAAGAGGACCATGACTGTGTGGACGTTCCAAACACCACAAGTCTGTCCAGGGGCGGATCCAGACCTCCATTTTGGGGGGGGCGGTTTCTCGGCGTAAAACGGGGGGGGGGGGGGGGGGGAGTGTTTATATTTTTTGTGGAGTCATCGTTTTTACTAAACTCTGATAACATAATATAGATCTTGAGAGCTTTTGTATCGGTTTACCTGTAGGGGGTGAACTCTTTGAACTTTCTGTGGCTATGCACACCAAGGCACACGCTCCCGTACTTTTTGACTGCATAGCCTCAGAAAGCTGGGCATCTGGCCAACGCAATGTCTCTGCTCGTGCGGAAAATCACGTGCAATTGCAAGCTTACCAAAGCTATATTCACGTGCACGCCATACGTGCCTGCTCGTATGGGGCACCAGTCAGGACGCTACACTGTAGCGTCCTGACTGTAAATTTGACCGTAAAATCTACGGTCAAATACCAGGCAGCTGATGCTGCCAAACTTGTACAGTAAAAATAACGGTGCACTGTAAATCTGGTTTACGATAAATTTAAACGGGGACCGTAGAAATCTACGGTCGGCCTTCAAATTTGCGGTAAAAAAAATTTACAGCGCGCCGTTATGTTAACGGTGCAATTTAAACGACGAGAAAGGTGGTAGTATTGAGGTTCATAACATCATTGTATAGTGATGTTATGAACTCAATGATGTTATGAACCTCGACTGAACCAAGCACGTTTTGAAGGCTTTCAGCAAGTTGGCCGAACATGTATTGTTTGTACAAGAAATGCCGACGTTGAAATTCATAAATGGTTTTTTGAACTGTTGATACCGGCATAAGAAGCGTTCCGTTGAACTTCAGCTACAAAAAAAAAAAACAAAAAAAAAACAAGGTCGTATTTTACGGCCTTCCTTTTTTCTCCTGCAGACAGAGACATTAACACGTCGTAGTTATCATTAGGGGATTGCATCACGTTAACAGCACCGTCTTCATTAGAATCCGCACTAGTCGACCGAGAAGCGGGCCTGCAGGCGATGCGCCGTCGCCCAAGAAACCCGTCACTCGTAAATGCGCCCAGTTCAAATGTGCCGTGATCGAACTATGATTTCACACCTTCTGACAGTTGGAGCACGAACACGAAAACAAAATGCTGTCGGTGATGTGGCCTTTTAGATGTTTTAGCAAAGCCTCCCTTGTGTGGCACTCCTCTAGGCATGGTGGCAAAGTGCACTGAAAGCTTTCCAAACTCCTCGAAAGAAACCAAACTTCCCTGCAATGGCAACGTGGTTGTTTGCCCCATATCTACATGACAACGTCCATTAACTTATCTACACACAATGTTGAGATGGAGTAGAGAGTAGCTGGTGTAAGTTGCAAAGATCACATCTCAATATATATCGGTCTGTTAGCGGTTCATAATAACGCAGATTTCAACGATCAAAATAATAATACGCGATCTTTTAGTCTAATTACGTGATTATATTAGAACATGAGGTGGCTTTTCGAATGTTTCAGCTAATTTCAATTAAACCTCGAAAAAATGGGTAATGGAAGTATTGTAAACGACTTAATTTTCGCGAGGACCTCATTTTCGCGAGGACCTAATTTTCGCGAATATCGCGAATCGCCTACCGTTTGCGAAAAATAGGTCCCGCGAACAATTCCGGTAAAATGTCAACACATTGAATGTATATTGGAATCCCAGCGCGTCGCGAAAATTACAACCCGCGAATTATTCCAAAACTTAAGCTTTTACCTAGATCGCGAAATATTGAGCCCGCGAAAAACAAGTTGTTTACAATATTATTTTTTTTTATTAGACTAGATCACCAACTGCGCTGATAACCAATCACAAATATCTACAGAAGGATAGACAATCAACTGGACAAAAAATATGACCTGCAATGAGATACTGAACCAATGCAGGTTGCATATCTATGTCAAGAATCTTTGTTGGGATTCCTCGTTCTGTGTAGTTTCGGTTCTTCTTGATGAACTCTGGGTGCTTTACGGGGAAGCAGGCATTCAGGATATTGTCGCGAATGTGGTTCAGTTTGAAGATTGTGTCTACAATTCATCTTCAAGCATAATTATCTGGCTGACAAATCTTTGGTGAGTAGCGTTTGTCCCGAGCGTACCAAATTCATTTGTTCCAGATATCAATTTACATTCGCGCAAAATCACGCTCCCTCGAATTCCATCAAGGATTCCTGTCGCGAAACCTGCTCTTAACGAAGACCGACAAATAAAAGCAACAATTAAAGTCGAAGCGACTTTGGTCGTGAATAGAACGTCGATCATAGCATAAAACTGTCCGGCAATGTTGAGCGCATTAATGAGGCCTGCAGTGAGTGGCCGAAACGAAACGCAGCAAATTAACGCGGGCGAAGGCCTCGTCGGAATTCCCGTCAGTCTGTTTTTAATGGCGGCGGGCTTTGCGCGATGGCTGGAACGAGTCCAAGGCTTCGTACGCGGGACACATTGACGCGAGCACGGCGCGCTTCTAATATCCGCGAAGGCTGCAGCGCGCGCCGCGCAGCCTTTTTCGGAGCTAGGCACACTCTGTGCCCCGTGGCCACTAACCACTTCATGATACAGCTTTGCTAGAGCCCGAAGGAAGCCACGCGGAGCGCATGCTCGTCTGCTAGAACTTGCGGTGACGTCAGAACGCCGACCTGTGATTGGCTCCGCTGGAGGTAGGGTGGGTAGACCCCGATGCAGCTAGCATCGAAGTCTATACCCACTATTCTCTCCCTCAGAGCCAATCAGAGTTCGGCGTTTTGACGTCAATGCAACCAAGAAGCAGACGCACTTGCACTCCGTATAGCATCACTCCCCGTGCCGCTTTTCCTGACGTCACTGCCCTCACCGGTAATGCTGCGGTCACACCGCTCTGACATCATGCGAGAGACACATTACATGACGTCAGCAGTATTTGCGTTCAGGCCTCAAGCAACTTCGAAATGTATTTGTTTCATGTGCTTCAAAAATGGACGCATCTCCACGTGGTGAATGATGTTGATTGGGGCGAAGCTCTGGTGCTGCTGATGATACTGATTTTATTGTTCATAAATAGTGCTGATGGCGCTGAATTTTTTTTTTATTGCTCATAGGTAGCGCTGAGTTCCGAGTTGCCGTTTCGACTTCATTATTACTACTTTATGGTTGGTGAAATGCACAGCCAGTGGTTCTTCTAGCGGATCAGCTTGGATCCGCTAGAAGCCGTGGGAACGCATCTCCACCGCTTAAGTCAACGGTCCATGTCAGAGAGTGTGTGGTATGCATCGCGGTTATACACGCAGTTGAGCTTTTGACCGCAGTTCCCTCTCGTCTATTAACGTTCAGCCAATGCATGCAAAGTTTAACGCGATTATATACGCACTTGACCGCAGCGCCCTCTCCTGTATCGACGTTGAGCGGCTACATGCAACGTTTCATCCATGACATCCCCAGCTCTTGAGTTACAACCACATCTCAGAGCCCCCTACTCGTCCCGCAGGCGTGTCCGAGTGGTTAAGGCGATGGACTAGAAATCCATTTGGGTCTCCCCGCACAGGTTCGAATTCTGTCGACTGCGCAAACATTTTTTTTTTTTTTTTTTAAGAAGACAGATGGGGATGGCAATCGATGTGAGCACGGACGCCGGACGGACAAGGCTAGACCCTAAGGAACTTCGCCCATAAAATGTCTGCAGACACCTTTTGTATGAGCAGTGAACCTACAAACAAGAGAAAGAAGTACGCCTTAGAAGTGTACTGTCTTTTGTATGATATGTTAGCATGGCGACTGCGGCTTAATACAACGTACAAAAAACAGACTGAAGATACTCGTCCGAGCTTCTGCCAACATGTCCGAAGCGAGCGCATTTGTATGCGACAAGTATGCTTCGAAAATGCTCGAGGTGTGTGTGTCCAAATAATCCTGTTATCGTCAGAGTCTGCGGAGAAACTTCGTGTCTTCTGGCTCCTGTTGTGACCTAGAAATACAGCAACATTAATCAGTTGTAATTTATCAAATCCTACCTGCAGGTTATAAAAGATGCCGAAGTAGCGTTTCCTTCTTACCGCTGACTCGATGCTCTATACCGAAGCTATTACAAAGAATCCCAGCGTGAGCTTATAGATTAAATTCGACCTTCACAAAATCTTTACCGGCATGTCTTTTTTTTTTTGGGGGGGGGGGGGGGGGGGGGGGTTATTGATTTTATTTGCAAACAGCGAAACCTACTAATAGACAAAATTTTTAAGTGCTTCCTTATCATCTACTTGAGACACCTGTAAGTATTTTATATTCTGCAGAAACCTTTACAAAAAACCTAAAAATATTTTTGTAAAAAAAAAAAACAGATATCTGCAAAGGCATTTTTGCAGTCAATATTTTAATTAAAAAATATAGCCCGTTCTCTTTGAACTGTGGTTCAACTGGCCATCGAACACTCAAAAAGAAAAGACAACAACGTCCCCTCCTTCAAAGACAAAGCAAATAAAAAAAAAAAAAAAAAAAAAAAAAAAAAAACAGAGGTGTCAAGCGGCAAGCCGACAGACAGGACAGTGCCGGAAGCGCGGTGGCCGACTGAGACCGGGTTTGTCTCTCTCTACGTCCACACACACACATACATACACGCATACACGTGTGTGTGAAAGCAAGGAAGGAAGAAAACGAGCGAGGGCGTT